ATATATATATGCCTCTTTGCCTTCTGGCTGTGTGCAAGTGGGTCGATATGACACACGGGGGTGGGGGCAGCCGCCGCTCAACCTACATCCACGTGGGCGGCCTTGTACGCAAGAGGTTCTGAACAGGGGGAGTTAAAAGGAAGAAGATAAAAAATTGAAATTAATATTCCCTGGTTTTCTTTTCTCCTTTTTTCTCTTGTTTTCGCATTTGCGCTCTGATATTCTTGTGACAGTGACGATATATAATATAATATATATATATCTTTTTGGTCGCATTTGCGCTCTTGTGACAATATATATTTTTGTCTCTGCCAAATTTTAGCAATAATAGCATATCACGGACGGTATAGTGAAACGTCGGTCTTCCCCTCGAATAGAACCCAGGGTGCCCCTCGAATAGAACCTAGGGTGCCCCTCGAATAGAACCCGGGGTGCGTTCTATTCGGGGGATGTGGAGTGAATTTGGCCGTATTTCTGGTTGTTAATTAAGACCTAAAAATAGAACAGGAGAGAAGTCGTGTCAGGATGTTACCTAAACGTCCAGGCGCAGAGCATGCACCTGCCCGGGTTCACGTTCCGGGTTCATGTCCATTCGGACATGATGATTAGGTGCAGAGCAATGGGAGCATGAACCTAGCCATCCCGTATTGAGAGTACTACGACACGTTCTCGACATGATCCGGGGCGAGGTCCCTCTAGCAAAGAGGAGTGGTTGAAGTGCTTGAATCTGGATGTGATTTAGGCAGAGATGCAGAAAAACAGATTAATCGCGATTCTCTGCACCTCTCCAGAAACACGTCCAGATCCAATACTCTTTTCGTGACGGGACATCGCCCCTCAGGCCGGAGGTGTGTTTACCCAATCGTTTTTTGCGAGGGGGACCTCCCGCGTGGAGAGGTGTGCGATACGATGTCCACAAGGATGTCCTGCTATCCATGGCTTAATGAGACAGGGGCAGTCGTGGATTTTAAGGCATGAAGAGGTGGCAGTAGTGCTCGTCTCTCATCTTACATACGCTGAGAATCTCCCTCCTTGTTCTCTGCCCTCTCTCAGTATCTCACCCAATTCTCTCTCTCTCTCTCTCTCTCTCTCTCTCTCTCTCTCTCTCTCTCTCACAGAGGTTCTGAACAGGCGGAGTTGTAAGTAAGAAGATAAAAAAATGAATTGATATCTTTTTTGTTTTCTTTTATTTTTTTCGCTTTTGCGCTCTGATAACTTTGTGAGTCTTGTGACTATCTATCTATCTATCTATCTATCTATCTATCTATCTATATCTATTTATGTGTGTGT